CGACGTTTTCTAAAGCTAGAATATTCGCATTACGCTTTATCTTCAAGTTTTTTGTTTTCTCACACAACTTTGTCTACTTTGATATCTCTCTTTTTCTATTAATGCTATTGTGAAATGTGGCAATGTGAACGGATGGTCTTGTACGCGTAGTTCTACGTTAATTCCGCCTGTTTGTCCTATGGCTATGACTGCAATGCGAATGATGAGCGTGCGCCCTAAGTTTGTGTGAGCGTAAGCTAAAGTGGTGTAATAATTTAACTTCGAAGACCTTCACATCCTAATTGGAATAAACTCCTAACGTTGTGAGTTCACCACTCGTAGGTAATTATTAGCAAAATCTTTTAGCATTTTAGGTTTCGGTCTATTCCGTTGAACAGTCACTTTTAGATTACATAGAGACTGGGAAACAGAATATTTACTTTGTGCTGATCACCTACGAGACTTAAGTCGGTGTTAGCATTCCTTATTAAAAACACCAACGTGTGTAAGGAACTCATCCACATGGTTCATCACTATTCTTAGGGAGCGGTATTTTGTATTGAACAGTGCGTAGTGATCCCTAAACTTTTGTCTAATTGACTGGATAGTATTTTCGAAACTGTTTGCGTGCTTTCTCAGACAGGAGTAAACTGCAGTTCTAGTCAAATTTGACGTGACCAAGTTTCTGAAGGAGCAGTTGGATTTTCCAAGCATCATCCTGCTCTGCGAAATCAACTTGGACAAGATCGTCTTAGAGATGAAACCACGTATCAAAAGTAACACTGGTGTCCGAATATTAATTAAAATCTGCAATGCTGTTAGCAATATCATCAACTGATAGTGCAGTGAAGGGAGCTGGTGTATTTGATGGCAGATTTATCAATATGCTATTTTTCCAGCAGGTGCTCAACCTTTCATGGGTATATCTCATCCCCATCACTAACTGATATGGTCCTCTGATCATGCAGAAACCGATTGCTAGGTAATCGACAGTGGAGCGCTTCCATCCAACTCTTCCCAGCCTAGTTAGTGAAGAAAAGATTAACTTGATGGAATAATTTATTAACTCTATCTCATTAATTCAAAACTAGGTTGCAGCTTTTGTGTTTATGTATCTTTAAGAACCTTTAAGAACAAAATTGATAAATAGCATATTTAAAAAAGGATAACCGGTGAGAAAAAGTCAGTACTTATGAGCTGTAGATATGGATTGAGAACCTGTTCGGTAGCTGCGGTCTTGACATGGTGGTCGGGTTCGAATGTCACAATGACCGAGGGAGCTACATTTGTTGGGATGCCTAACCCCCCGATGTTTTACTATGTCAGAACAGCCTTTTGGATAATGGTAAGATGAAAAGCTATTGCCACTTTAGTTGTAATTACTACACATTGATAGGGGGAGGGGTTCGAGAGGCGAAGTCTCATTGCTGACTGGATAGGTGTGACAAAAGCAAGTTGTTTTCCTTGGATGACAAGCAGTGCCACGCTGATGCTGCGTTCCCTATGGGTAAAAGGGTTAAAAATGGCTGGCTACCAAAAAAGCACACTGCCACTACCCCACAACCTATCGATTCCAACGATGTGGGTTCGTAGTCGAATTCGGAAACAACAAACCAAAATCTCAAACTTGCAAAATGGTCATGGGTGACCAGCATTAAGCTGATGTCTCTTGAGTTGTGCAGTTACACACTAACCTTTCTTTTTTAGGCATATCAAGATGAATTAACCTTCTACGGTGTAGGCAGCTGAGAAGTGTCAACTACCCTCACAAGTCTCAGTACTCAATTTCCCTCAGATCTCTATCCGCTCTCTACATCCTAACTTCTAATCTTCCTCCACTTCTCTCGACCAATATTCCTACATCATCTTTAGTTTCTACCATCTCTTCAGCTCTAGGGAGCGATCTGAGATGAGAAAGCAGCATCCTGGGTCTCCTGAAACCGCTCTCCAAACTATACATTTGAGCTTTCAATGCTTGAACCCTCCATCAAGTTTGTCAACAAGCTTTACTATCCAAAACTCTACAACCGTGTTCAGATAGCCATTTATGTCTAGCTAGTACAAACTTCAAACATGAAGAGAGACATTGTCTGACGTGGCATCCATCGAGCCCAACTCAGCGGTGGACATAGATAGACTACATTGCTACCAGTCATCTCTGGAGAGGGTTGGTGGAAGACCTCCGCTCCTTGAGGAACACATGTCTAGACAGCGACCGCGTGTTGGTTTGAGTATGTGTATGTTTGCATCTTAATGGACGTAGGAGAAGGCAACAACAAGACCATAGCGAGTGCAGCTCGAGAATGACAGCATTAAGTCGGCTTTCAATGAGAAATTGATTAAGCAGTTATCAGGACAGAACATTATCACTCATCCGGAAGAAGCTTGGTGCCATCTCCAGTCTGCTGTAAAAACAGAGTTGAAGAAAGTAGATGACTCTCAGAGAGTGGTTGAAAAGAGCCAGCGTGTCTTAGAAACTTCTTCTGAATTAATGGATGCAGGCGAAGGCATCCCCGCAGGCTTCGAGTATAATGAGGAGCAAGTGCAACTCAAAGTCTACTCGATGACCGTGAACAGTGGTGGGTGTCGAAGGCTAAAGAGATGGAAAAGGTAGCGGTGATTGATAACAGTAGACAATTATTTGGAATTATCAAGGAAACTGAGGAAAAAAGATCAGTGCTTAGTGAGGCTGTTACGCAGGATGTGTCTGTGATTCACTTGCAGGGGAGACGACTGAAACTATGAGAACACTTCGAGGAATAGTTCAACTGGCCTCCAACTACAATCTCGTTACCCATCATTCAGTTGGAGCCTGAGTGATGCATCAAGATGGGTCCTGAGACGAGAATGAGTAGCATGACCATTTGGACTAGCCCCAGAGATAGTTCGGGATGGTAGTTGAGGATTTCTAATCACGTAAACTAAAGTGTTAACTAGTGTTTGTGAATCCGACACAATCGCCTCTGACTGGTATCAACTCCTGATTGTCGTGAGTTTGTCGATCAGATAGGCACCCTCCACCAGGTGGAACACAGACACACATACTGTCGCCCGACGCTGACTGTATATCTTGACCTGACGGCAACGTTTGAGTCTATCGATCCAGAAGTTTTATGGAAATGTCACTCACTGAAAGGGGCATCGAGTAGTTACACCACTCTGTTTAAGGCTCTCTATTCGAATACGCGTGGGCGTATTAAAGCCTACTGTGAGTTGTCGGGTGAATTGTGTGCATCGAGGACATCCAGTCTCTCTAGTTCCATTCAATTTATCCCAGACTTATGAAAGTGTTTCGTCGTGTGGCTTCCAAGGGAATGATCTGATCACAGGAGAGATTTTGGTAGACACGCATATGATGTTTTCCTGTCAGGTCAAGACGCTGACAAGATGCAGTTTTCTGGACACTTGAGTGGCAATTTGAAAATTTTTGGGATGTGTTTCTCGCCACCCAAATGCAAATTGTTGCTCTAGGACTATTCCCCAGCATTGCATTAGCTAACTGTTGGGAGTAAAGTGGTTGAGTGCGTTCATCACTTCTCTTACCTGGAAAGTTGGATCAGCCTTGGTGGTTCAGTGTGCGACGAAATCTCTGCATGCATAGAAAGGGCTTGACTGGCTTTTGGCAATATACACTATCTGTGGTCCCGCCGAGATATCTGATTGTCTATTAGGGGTCGAGTATACTGTGCTACATTCCGCTCTGTTCTGCTTTATGGTTGGGAGACATGTGCAATAAAGGTAGAGAATACAAGAAGGCTTCAGGTGTTTGACTACCGTTGCCGTCATAGCATAGGCAGTGTGTTGTGGTTTCACCATGTGAGTAAGGCAGAAGTCAGGTGTAGAGTTTTAGGGAGAAGAGGAAGATCAGTTGGTGAGGTTGTGAAACTTCATCGACTGAGGTGGCCGTGAAATGTGTTACGCATGCAGTCACCGTCTAGCTCGTCTTGCAATGTTAACTGAAGTAGGTTCAGACTGGAACAATGCTCGGGGCGACCAGACAAAAAGTAGTATCAGTGAATGAAGTATTTGACTGTTGTTCTGAGCCATGTAGGGAGATGCAGACTAGTCGGTTGAGGTTCACCGCTGGTTGTAGACTATAGATGATATAGCTCATAATCGATGTCAGTGATGTAAATGAATCCATACATAGTCGTAATCGCTATGCTGAATCTAACATATTCTCATTCCTCCCTCCTCCTTGCTCTCCTTTACTGCTTTCTGTTGCTTTCCTCTGATTTTTTCCCACGGTTTTTTAACCTATCATGTTGTTACTTTGTTACTTGATGTACTGATATAAGGGGTGATATGTTGGGCCACTGTGCAGTAATACCTGGTCATATGTTGAAGCCGATGATCTTGATGGGTTACGAAAATCGTTAATTATGACTGTCTAATATTCTGGAACAATAACACAATTCGAACTTGGGGAATAATAAAAGTAGTTTTCTAGCAAACAAAGATGTCCATAAGCAGTGGTATGACCATTCTCAAGCAGCTATCGCTTGGGCTTTACTGTTTCTTTCCCAGGTTGGTGAAATCATCCATATTAGTTCAGTCTTCTTCCTAGGTGCCACAACCCTCTGCGGTGCGGAAATTCCCGAAATGTCAGTCGCCTACACACTTCTGTGAACACTAAGTTTCTTTTTGTATGTTGGTGTCATTTACGAGTATTTAGCTGCTTGTTACCTGTTTGTTTTACTCACTAGTTTCTCACTCTTTAGGTCATTCTAATAAAATTTTCTGTAAAAGTAGATAAATAAGAGATTCATATTGATCATTTCCGACCAAATCCTTTTGTTGAGGGGACTTCGTGACTATCTTCACTCAATGATAGCGAATAATATTGAAGGTGGACACATATTTAGGGAAATAGGCCCTTACAGTTTTCGTTTTAACTTTTGATTCTTCTCATTCATTCTGTTTGAATAACCGTAGTACGTGTTAGCTATTTCTCTGGGGTTTGTTTCCTACCTGTTCTGTAATGCTACCCTTTTACACATACATACATATTCTTTTTGTAGGTTTTTTCAGATAAGACTAATTTCCCATTGACTGTTAAACTTGGAAGGCCTCGACTACGCCCAAATGATCGAATTCATCTTGCTAGCATGTTTCATCCATTGCACTCATTGGCTCGACTTCTCTCCCCAATCCCTGATTCAAAATGGAATTTCGTTGGACCAGTTAATGACAAGAAGACTCCGCGAGTTTGGAATTCAGGCATTCAGACTTTGGAAACTGAATGCTGTCGCGTCCACTGTTTAGAAACGCATACTAGTGTTAAATTCCTACTTGTCACTGATGTCAAATTACCAATGGCTTCCCGTGAGGCTCTTCGTAGGGTTTATGAAGCGTACACCGATTTCGTACTGAAGAATCCCTTCTATGCACCAAACCAACCCTTCAGCTATGAATTCTTCACAAATCAAATCAAAATTATATGTGATCAGGTCGAAAAAGGAATATATGTAATTAACTGACTTCTTGTAATTTTATAGTTGCATTCATTTCCGGGATTCAACTAAGCATATCATTTCAATATTCTTGTTTTTTCTGCTAAAGTTCTGTATACCAGCATTTCTGGCTTTTCTGTATGCATAATTTTCATTTTATAAGGATGTATTTATCAAGTGACTTTTATTCTCCTATCATACGATAAATTGTAGGTCGTTCACTTGACGAAACATCAATCATAACATTGATTCATATGATGACTGAATTTGGTTCACATATGCGAACTGCGTAGTTTGAAGTAGAGCTTATCAGTTTTCATGCATCAGGTTCTCAAAAAGTTCTGATATGAAGTCTTTTAAATAGTGTCTCAGTGAACTAGATTATTTCGAAAAATTTACATATGACATCTATTCCAAACTAATAATCCACCCACTTAGTCTTTCGAACACATTTACCTACTGGCAAAGGATTTCGTTGATATATATGGGTCTTACGCAGTACCTTCCTGATTAGATCAATAGTGTAACTCAATCCGGTACAGATGTTCCTGGAGTAGCCTATGAGTAGCGACTATGTTAAGGCTTATGATACCGCTCGATCGCCCAAAACAGAGTAGACACAGCAGGTTTTAAACCTAGGAATTAGGAACGCTATTCTGAGCTCATCACAAACAACGCGGCTTTCAAAAATGAACTGGATAAACAGTTATCGTTGCATGACAGTGTTTCTCATCCTTGAGAATCCTTTTACTGTTGCCATGCTAAAATCAGTGGTACCCCAACCGATACCTGTTACCATGACGTGGTGGTCGGGGTTGTGTATCACGACCCAACGAGCTACACTAGCTGGAACGCTTGTCCCCTCGCCGTCGGAAAGGCTTATTGGATAGTGGTAAGATGAAAAGCAGTTACCATTGTAGTATATGCTGCTACGCTATGACTGAGGTCCGAGAGCGAAGTGGTACTGCTGGATGGGGTGTAACAGCAGTAAAGTGTTTCCATGGATTGATTAGCAGTACCATGCTTTTGCTGTTTTTCCTATGGATAAGTGGGTTAGAAAAAGTCAACCCCCAAAATACACCCACGGCCAGGTCTGAAGCCTGCCTGGTTTCCTCGGGCTTCCTGTTACCGAACTCCACTCTTGCGTCTAATAATTTTCGAATCTTAGACACTGTTCGTTAGGCTAATTTATCTCTGGTTATTACAAGAGAAATTCTCCATTTTTTTGAAGATTGGCATAGTCAGTCATCGATACCAATCAAAGAGGATCATATTTGACTCCCATACACTGGTTTACACTTCAGTTGACTAAAATCGCTCTGCCACCATTCATATATACTTCAGGAACTATTACGTCTGGTCTTGCTTCCGTTCCTGGTTTCAAGTTACCTACCACTTCCTCTATTTTGCAAGCGTTTAGGGGCCTACTTCAATTTTCCATTTAGGCTCCAACTGAATGATGGGTAACGAGATTGTAGTTGGAGGCCAGTTGAACTATTCCTCGAAGTGTTCTCATAGTTTCAGTCGTCTCCCCTGCAAGTGAATCACAGACACATCCTGCGTAACAGCCTCACTAAGCACTGATCTTTTTTCCTCAGTTTCCTTGATAATTCCAAATAATTGTCTACTGTTATCAATCACCGCTATCTTTTCCATCTCTTTAGCCTTCGACAGCCCACCACTGTTCACGGTCATCGAGTAGACTTTGAGTTGCACTTGCTCCTCGTTATACTCGAAGCCTGCGGGGATGCCTTCGCCTGCATCCATTAATTCAGAAGAAGTTTCTAAGACACGCTGGCTCTTTTCAACCACTCTCTGAGAGTCATCTACTTTCTTCAACTCTGTTTTTACAGCAGACTGGAGATGGCACCAAGCTTCTTCCGGATGAGTGATAATGTTCTGTCCTGATAACTGCTTAATCAATTTCTCATTGAAAGCCGACTTAATGCTGTCATTCTCGAGCTGCACTCGCTATGGTCTTGTTGTTGCCTTCTCCTACGTCCATTAAGATGCAAACATACACATACTCAAACCAACACGCGGTCGCTGTCTAGACATGTGTTCCTCAAGGAGCGGAGGTCTTCCACCAACCCTCTCCAGAGATGACTGGTAGCAATGTAGTCTATCTATGTCCACCGCTGAGTTGGGCTCGATGGATGCCACGTCAGACAATGTCTCTCTTCATGTTTGAAGTTTGTGCTAGCTACAAAGAAAGAAATGATCCCATGTAGTCGTTTGCGGTTTATTAGGTAAGACAGTTTTCAACAGGAGTTATCTTTCTCTTCTTGAGAAATACAGTCAAGTTAAAAGAACGTACAAATGATATATCTTAACCAGGTGTGCAAATTCTCCTCTGGATCTCAACATTCGTTCACCCATAAAAGTGAGAACCAGTTGGGCAGGGCACCTCATAGCGAAGTACAAAAATAACTCTAAATCTCCATATACGTACCCACCGAGTCGAATTCAGATGATAAAAAGGATGGATTCTATGAGAAGCTGTCAGTTCTGCTGCAGAAAGCAATGCGTTCACATATGATCTTAAGAGTAGGCCACGTTAACACTCAAGTAAGAAGGCTGATCTAACCAGAACGACATCCTGGAGGTATCTATGGAATACCATGTCAACGAACTGACAACGGTGGTCTTCTGTTGTAATTTTGTTCCGACAATCCCTTGTTTCTGGTCAGCACTTACCTCATGTATGGGGAGGGACACTGTCTCACATGGGATCCATCGACATCAAGCTAATAATGGTCACAAATATATCATACTGCCATACGCCATCTTTGGAGGGAATCATTGGAGGAGTGCCGCTCTTTCTGGAGTACCTGCTTGGATTCCGATCACACGTTGGTGTGGGCTTGTGTATGTCTATCCCCTACTGGTTGCAGTAAACAGATGGTAGTTACATTTTTGTGTGCTCAGTTGGAAGATGAGGAGTTCCGGTACGTGTTTGTGGATAAATTAGCACAGCATTTATCTGAACGTGATAGCATTTCGATATCCTGAGGAAACCTGGTGTGATATTAAGTAGGATGTAGAAACGGTGGCAAAGACAGTTCAGAGAATACAACATAGTCAAAAAAGTTGGTAGCCTACCCTCGAAGAATAACGAACGTTAGTGAATTTCCACAACACCATGCGAAGTAATTGAGACAAGAAGACTGATTGGCTCTGACCACAATGAAGAGTGAAAGCTACTTAAACCTAGATTGACCAAGAGTCATCGCAACGATGGCTAGCAGTGGTGGGTGGTGAACGCTAGAGAGATGGAGAAGACGTCAGCGTTAGCTATGCCCGTCAGTTATATAGGGTCATTAGGATACCTGCAAAAAGAAGACGATGGTGAGTGGGGACATCAGTAAAAAGGATGGGACTATGATAACCTCTCAGTACCGGTGGGTAGATCTTTGGATGAAAAACTTCGAAGCACAGTGCAACTGACCGACAGCAACGCTTCAGTTGCTTAACATTGAGTTGGAACCCGAATGGTGAAGTGAATGTCAGTGTTCCAACTCGACTTGGAGTTGAGGATGATGTGTCGAAATTGAAACGATGCAAAACAGCAGGACCTAACAGTTTGCTAGCAGAAGTTCTTAAGGATGAAGGTGATGGAATTGCTGCATGGTGTGTGAGAATCAGAGGTAGTGCCGTCAGACGAGTCTACTTCACTGATCACCCCAGTCAATAAGAAGGAAGAGAAGTCTTCTTGTGATTATCATAGAGGAACCATCCGGACTAACACCGTGTTTTAAAATCCTAAGCTCCGTTGCCATGCGACACCTAACGTAGCTCGAGAACAAGACGAAGAGAGCCAGGCAGGTTTCAGACCTGGAAGAGTGTGCATCAATCAGATTTTCACTCTTCGACATGTTCTGGAACACAGGCATACCTACCGATGGTCAACACGCCATGTTTCCTGGTTTGAAGTCTGCATTCGACTCAGTCGATAATGAGGTGTTGTGGCAGTGTCTGCTTGTGAAAGTAGTACCCAGCAAGCCTATAGTGCTTTCAAAGCTCCCTACTTAAACTCATGCAGCCGTGTAAGGTCTACCGGAGAGTTGCCATCAAAATTACCGACAACTACTTGTGTCTGCCAGGGGTGTCCACTGTCACCGTTCGTGTTTTATTTCGTTTTAGATGCATTAATCGACATAACACTAGGTACGTCTGACTTCACAGGGATTAATCTACTCCCTGGAGGTCGTCTGGTTGACTTAGACTATGCAGACAACATTGTCTTGCTAGGTGAAGACGCTGACAAAATTCCGTTGTTTTCTGAACGCGTTGAGCAGAAATCTGAGTATATTTGGCATACGTTTCGCACCTGTCACATGTAAGATAATGCTCCAGGACTGGTCTGCTGCAACCACTCTAAGTGTAATGATAGAGAGTGAAGTGGTGGAATGTGTCTACCGCTTCACTTACTTGGAGAGTTGCATCAGCCCAAATGGAGTGGTTGTTGACAGGATCTCATCTCGGATACAGAAGGCCTGATTGGCATTTGTCAACTTGTGTCACCTGTGGCTCCGACTGGCGAGATATCCGACTATCTATCAAACGACGAGTATATTGCACTGTAGTCTGTTCTGTCCTGATATACGGCTGTGAGACATGGTCGTTAAAAGTCGAAGACATAAAGCGACTACAGGGCATTGGTTTCAGGTGTCTTCATAGCATTGTTCGTGTTTGGTGGTATCACCATGTGAGGAATATTGAGGTTAGGTGAAGGCTACTGGGAAAGACAGGCAAGTCGGATGATGAGGTCATGAACCTTTATGGACTGAGATGGCTTGGAAATGTGTTGCGCATGCTGAGTCATCGCCAACCTCGAGGTGCCATCCCACGGGATTAGGTTGGAAGAGGGTTCAGGATGGTCAGATCAAGACCTGACACCGGTCGATGAAGTTTGTGACTATTGTTGTGAGCCATGTATGGAGTTAGGTGTAGAGTACTTGACTAGGATCTTCGAGACGATCGGAATAATCAGTGGTGGAGGACCTTATGTGAGATTGCTGAGAATCGGTGGCAATGATGCAGACGTATTCACTCGACGTTTTCTAAAGCTAGAATATTCGCATTACGCTTTATCTTCAAGTTTTTTGTTTTCTCACACAACTTTGTCTACTTTGATATCTCTCTTTTTCTATTAATGCTATTGTGAAATGTGGCAATG